TATTTATTTAAAAAATAAAGAAATATTATTCTCATTATACATCACAAAGTATTGTATTTTGTAACCTCACTGCTAGACTTCTTTTATACCAGCTTGGAGGTTTGCAGTGTCCTTATTAACGCTTTGACTGTCGAAATCCCAAATCCTGAAGTGTCTTCTGGTGTCGAAAAATATTAAAAAAAAAAAAAATTATTTTTCTTATGAAAATGTTAAGATTATTTTTCTGATTGTTTTAGTCCAAAAAAAAAAAAAAATTTGCCATCAGTACTTACTGAAATACAGAGGCGTGAAGTTGGCAGAAAATGAGCTGCGTATGGCAACAGTGGTAACTGCTGCTCACCCGGTAAACTTTGGTTTACTTGTATTTGAAAGTTTCTTGTTTTTTTTTTTCACTATTTTATTTTTTTACATAACTTATGTGGCCTGCAAGTCCAAAGTAAGGTGCAATGTATACATATATACACTCTTTGTATACAACACAATAAGCGCACAAACAAAATTATCAATATATTATTTACAAAACTTGTTTACATAAACAAACAATACAAAAACTTGTTTATTACTGTTGTTTTATAATACTACAGTGGTCCCTCAATAATCGTCCGGCTCGGTAGTCGTCCTTTTCGGAAATCGTCGCGTTATTCTCGTCCAAACATTGGCTTGCAAATAGTCGGTTTACTCACTAATCGTCCTTCGTCCGGGACGCGTGCTCACACTCTGAGCTACCTCGGCCTCTCTTCCCAGCCAGTGTGAAATTGTTTACCAGTGAGCGATGGTCCCTTCACTTGTTCATATGAAATATTTCATAATATTCCGTTCATTTTAGTGCTTGCAAGTGCTAAATAAGCTACCATGACTCCAAAGAAAGCTCCTAGTGCCAAGCCTTTGGTAACGAAAGTGAGAAAAATAATTGAATTTAAGAAAAACATCATTGAACAATATGAAAGTGGCGTAGGCGTGGTCGAATTGGCCAGCGGAGGAGCTGCAAGAGCTTCAGCAGGAACAGGAACAGATCTCAGAATCTTGCTGCAGAGGAGGAGGAGGAAGAGAGATGGAAGGAGGTCCCTCTTCAGAAATTAAGGAGATTTTTGAAATGTGGGGAAGGATGGAAAGATTTACGGAGAAACATCACCCTGAGAAGGATGTTGCAAGACATATCGGCAATTTGTACAGTGACAGAGTCTAGGCCTATTTTAGAAAAGTTTTAAAGAGATGCCAGAAACAGAGCTCTCTGGACACTTTTTTGTGAGACAGGACTCCAGTGACTCTCAAGCTGGTCCTAGTGGCATTAAGAAACAGAGAAGAGAAGTAACCCCAGAAAAGCACTTGGTACCTAAGGTGCTGATGGAAGGGGATTCCCCTTCCAAACAGTAACTAATCCAATCTCTCTCCTCCTCCAGTCTTCCATACACTAAGAAGAATCGCCAATAAAGGTAAGTTTTATGCTGTTAATGTTTCATTCATCATGTCCCATTGTATTATGTACTACATCTATATTTCATGTAAAAAAAAATTTTTTTAATACTTCTGGGTGTCAGGAACGGATTAATTGTATTTACATTATTTCCCATGGGGAAAATTGATTCGAAAATCGTCTTTTTCGATAATCATCGCACTTCCAGGAACGGATTAACGACGATAAATGAGGGACCACTGCATATATAAGTGTACAGTCACTGGACATGTTCCTAGAAGTTCTGCAGCTTGTGGAACTCTTTGAAACATGGTTTCATACACAATGGTGTTCTACACTCCTTACACACAAAGCAAGTGTGTCTGCATTCTTTTTCTGGGCCTTATTTTTTTTTTATGTGCAAAGACAAAACACCTCACCTCATCTGAGCAGTTTTCTTTAAAGTATTAGCAGGCAGTTGTGTTACGTAGTTATCCTAGGTAAATGGTCATGTGTCATCATTCCTTCCCTCCTACCTTCCTTCCTTTCATCTCGTCCTTCCTTCCTTCCATTCTTCCTTCCTTCCTTCTGGTTTCTATAATATATATACACATATATAGTCACTGGATACTTTCATATAACTGCTATTATCTTCATTCAACAAGCTTGTCTTGTGTGTGTGTGTGTGTGTGTGTGTGTACTCACCTAGTTGAGGTTGCGGGGGTCGAGTCCGAGCTCCTGGCCCCGCCTCTTCACTGATCGCTACTAGGTCACTCTCCCTGAGCCGTGAGCTTTATCATACCTCTGCTTAAAGCTATGTATGGATCCTGCCTCCACTACATCGCTTCCCAAACTATTCCACTTACTGACTACTCTGTGGCTGAAGAAATACTTCCTAACATCCCTGTGATTCATCTGTGTCTTCAGCTTCCAACTGTGTCCCCTTGTTACTGTGTCCAATCTCTGGAACATCCTGTCTTTGTCCACCTTGTCAATTCCTCTCAGTATTTTGTATGTCGTTATCATGTCCCCCCTATCTCTCCTGTCCTCCAGTGTCGTCAGGTTGATTTCCCTTAACCTCTCCTCGTAGGACATACCTCTTAGCTCTGGGACTAGTCTTGTTGCAAACCTTTGCACTTTCTCTAGTTTCTTCACGTGCTTGGCTAGGTGTGGGTTCCAAACTGGTGCCGCATACTCCAATATGGGCCTAACATACACGGTGTACAGGGTCCTGAATGATTCCTTATTAAGATGTCGGAATGCTGTTCTGAGGTTTGCTAGGCGCCCATATGCTGCAGCAGTTATTTGGTTGATGTGCGCTTCAGGAGATGTGTGTGTGTGTGTGTGTGTGTGTGTGTGTACTCACCTATTTGTGGTTGCAGGGGTCGAGTCCTAGCTCCTGGCCCCGCCTCTTCACCGGTTGCTACTAGGCCCTCTCTCTCCCCACTCCATGAGCTTTATCAAACCTCGTCTTAAAACTGTGTATGGTTCCTGCCTCCACTACGTCATTTTCTAGGCTATTCCACTGCCTTACAACTCTATGACTGAAGAAATACTTCCTACTATCTCTCTGACTCATTTGTGTCTTCAACTTCCAATTGTGGCCTCTTGTTTCTGTGTCCCCTCCCTGGAACATCCTGTCTTTGTCCACCTTGTCTATTCCACGCAGTATTTTATATGTTGTTATCATGTCTCCCCTGACCCTCCTGTCCTCCAGTGTGGTCAGGCCGATTTCCCTTAATCTTTCTTCATAGGACATTCCCCTTAGCTCTGGAACTAACCTTGTCGCAAACCTTTGTACTTTCTCTAGTTTCTTGACGTGCTTTATCAAGTGCGGGTTCCAAACAGGTGCTGCATACTCCAGTATGGGCCTGACATACATGGTGTACAGTGTCTTGAATGATTCCTTACTAAGGTATCGGAATGCTGTTCTCAGGTTTGCCAGGCGCCCATATGCTGCAGCAGTTATCTGATTGATGTGTGCTTCCGGAGACATGCTCGGTGTTATACTCACCCCAAGATCTTTCTCCTTGAGTGAGGTTTGCAGTCTTTGGCCACCTAGCCTATACTCTGTCTGTGGTCTTCTGTGCCCTTCCCTATCTTCATGACTTTGCATTTGGCAGGATTAAATTCGAGAAGCCATTTGCTGGACCAGGTGTCCAGTCTGTCCAGGTCTCTTTGAAGTCCTGCCTGGTCCTCATCAGATTTAATTCTCCTCATTAACTTCACATCATCTGCAAACAGGGACACTTCTGAGTCTAACCCTTCCGTCATGTCGTTCACATATACCAAAAATAGCACTGGTCCTAGGACCGACCCCTGTGGGACCCCGCTCGTCACAGGTGCCCACTGTGATACATCATTACGTACCATGACTCGTTGTTGCCTCCCTGTCAGGTATTCTCTGATCCATTGCAGTGCCCTTCCTGTTATATGCGCCTGATGCTCTAGCTTCTGCACTAATCTCTTGTGAGGAACTGTGTCAAAGGCCTTCTTGCAGTCCAAGAAGATGCAATCAACCCACCCCTCTCTCTCTTGTCTTACTTCTGTTATTTTATCATAAAACTCCAGAAGGTTTGTGACACAGGATTTGCCTTCCGTGAATCCGTGCTGGTTGGCATTTATACTCCTGTTCCATTCCAGGTGCTCCACCACTCTCCTCCTGATAATCTTCTCCATAATTTTGCATACTATACACGTCAATGACACAGGTCTATAGTTTAGTGCCTCTTTTCTGTCTCCTTTTTTAAAAATGGGAACTACATTTGCCGTGTGTGTGTGTGTGTGTGTGTGTGTGTGTGTGTGTGTGTGTGTGTGTGTGTGTTGGTTGTGTGTGTGTGTGTGGTGTGTGGTGTGTGTGTGTGTGTGTGGTGGTGCTAATTGTTTTGAGTCAGGGCTGCAGCTGTCAAAATGACATATTGTCTCATTACTCACTCCCCCTACTCCATGTCAAAACAATGGTGTTGGATGCTCGCTTCCCCTCCATCCTATCTAATTATCTTTCTCCCTCATTCCTCATTCTTCATTCTCCTTCATTCTTCTGGTATCCTGGGCATTGCTTTTGCTCACAAACTCCTCAAAACCATGAAATTGATCTTCACTGACACCTCCATCTGTGTTAGAGCATCACTTAGGAAGAGTAGAGTCCCAGATTTGCCAGGGAGTCGCATATTTCTTACCGCTAGGCATGCTGAACAAGGACTACTGAAATGGCATTCCCACAATGCACCACTGGCTCCCCAATTTTTTTTATATGGTGCACACTGACCATGGAGACTCATTCTCTCACATGTGGGCCTACCAGCTTTCTCCTGCTTGATTTGAAGCTGCTAGAATTCATGGTATTAATACGTCAAACACGGTGGCTCATAAGACGTATATATACGACCGAAACAGTCAAAGGGTTAAATGCCACTTTCACACCAATTCTATTATTGCCTGTAGAGGGTAATACTGTGCTATAATTTGTACCCATGTACATGTCAAATATGAGAATCAACAAAAGAAACAGAGCTTGTCACTCTAGCAGCTCAGTTTGAGTGGCATGAAGGCACTTCCTTTAATTTTGACGATGTATGAGGTGTAAATGTTGTGTAAATACTTTGTGGAGATTAGGCCTGTGTTTATACTGTTTCCATAGCAAGTTAAAGGCTCATTATAGTTATTTTTCAGTTTTTTTTTATGGAGTTCTAAGAATTCTGATCTCTGGCAGTGCAAAATAGTCATCATAAAGAACCGTGTTCTCTTTGTGTAACTAGGCTTATTATTGGTGTAATAAAAAAATTATTGTGTGGTATTTGGTTTAATTCACTGTTACAAAATAAAGACATGTAATTATAAATGTATGTATAGACTACACTACAGTATCTAAATACTGTCTGTACAACCTTAAAGATGACCCCCCTTTCCCTCTCACCCACCGAAAAGGGATATCTGTTTCATTCATATACAGTATTGTAGTATGACAAATGTGGTCCATTAAATTATGGAGTACTGTAGTACCCTGAATTATCAGTTTGAGAACCAAAATTGATTCATAAAAGCAGGAAGATTGTGCTGGATAAACTCATTACAGAATTTTGTTCCACTAAGTTCTGTGTTGGCTCCCTCTTGCTCATTCATTAGTCAACAAATGTATTTTTCTCCTTAAGTTGCTACCGATGGCCTTCTGTAGATTTTCCTTTAATCCAGTGAAGGGCTGTTGATCCAAAGTACTGGAATTACCCTTTCTTTCCTTGAACTGAATCTGGTTGCTTCCATTCCCTGACACAGTATGACCCCTATGGGTTTAGTGTTCCCCTTATGAATGTAATAATAATTCTTAATTCTACCAGCAGTTGCCTCACTTGAATATTAACAAAGGCTTTCTTTTGCTTCTGAGGTTAACTTTTGGAAACTAAATTCCCTGGGTTAAAGAATTTTCCTGAAATGCTTCATGTAACAAGGCGCTTTCCTTAAAACATGCAACAAATTTTCTGCACACAAACTGTTAACCAATTCATTATAATATCCATTAAAATAACCAAGTACATTTTAAAGAAATGATAATTACTATTATTATGTGCTGACATTTGATCTTGACAAAGCGCTCAGATCTCTCAAAGCAATTTTTCTTTTCACTGGTGGATATACATTATACTGTACTGTAGCTCTCTATCCTTGAGTAATTTCCCCTTGGCCACTGTAATTATTGTAACCCTTGTCTCAGAGTATAATGACCTTAATGTCCATGACAGTTGCCTCCCTCAAAGTTATCCTGGATCCTAAATCAGTTAATTTCCTTTTATTCAGAAAGTTAGTTCCCTAACAAACATGGTGGGTAGTTACTCATACAAGAGGTTGCTACCCATGAACCTATGGATGATAGCTTTATTTTATGTACATTTCTTTCTCGGTTTCACATTGTGTCAGTAACATCTCTTTATTCATGGAGTTGTTCCCTTGGACCTTGTAGGTGATACCTTCCTCTTAGTAAGAAGGTAACAACCTTAAGCTCTATAATAAATAACTTCCTTTTATATATTTTATATATATGATGATGATAACCCACAATCTATGGAAGTTAACAGGATGTTGATACACCAGGTCTTTTGATTAACCAAACTATCATGTACAGCACAGTTACCCTGGGTCCTTTACAAACTTAATCTTACTATTTCAAGAGGCTTCTTTCGCATTTAATGAAAAAAATATAAAGTATATTAGCAAAATAAAGTTTTACATATAAAACCTATGCTTTAATTAAGCATATGAATTCAGAAATTTGAGCCTCTCACATTTTCAACACAAGCATAAAACTACAAGTGAGAAAAATAAAGATTTGCAATACAAATTAATTCACTTTTTAGTGTAAATAATAAAAGATTAATTATATGATCCCTAAAAAAGGGTAAATACAGAATGCTGATCCATTATCATGCATATTTTAGGCATTATTTCATGCTCCTTTATAAAAGAAGATGAAATCATGTATATTCATATCTGAAGAACACTTGTCAAAATGAGATATGCTGGGATTCTTCTGTACATTACATATTTTATTGTGTCAACCAATTGGTGGTATGACACAATAGCATTGTACTGTCTTATTTATTTTAATGATCATCTGTAAAATAAGCTCAACCATGAAATTATTTACTTTTCATTTTTTTTTCTTTTGAAACTACCACCAGTAACATAATGGAGGAAACTTCAAAATATAGGATTATAATATTAAATTTTAAAACTGTCTACCTCAAATCCTTCAATGAGGAGGAATTTCTGAGACTGACTGGTGGCCTGGTGGTTAACGCTCTCGCTTCACACAGTGAGGGCCTGGGTTCGATTCCCAGCCAGAGTAGAAACATTGGACATGTTTCTTTCCACCTGTTGTCTATGTTCCCCATCAGTAAAATGGGTACTTGGTATTAGTCGACTGGTGTGGGTCGCATCCTGGGACACTGACCTAAGGAGGCCTGGTCACAGACCGGGCCGCGGGGGCGTTGACCCCCGGAACTCTCTCCAGGTAAACTCCAGGTAAACTGCTCTAAAAAGCAACATGCTTCACTAACAAAGTATATCATTTATAAGAATTAATCAACTGACCAGAGTGCAGCAGCAGACCTTGAGCTTAGCTTTTGAAGTTTTAGCTAATTAATAACAGATTTGTTGCATTTACTTCTCTCATGTCAATGCTGCTGCTCTGCTTACTTTATACCTCAAGTTAATAAGTCATCATTGCTACTGGAGAAAAAGCTGTGTAAAAATACACAACTTAGTTAATGTGGCATTCTTAAACAGAAATTAAATAACATAATATAATAAATACAGACGTCACAGTAATTAGACTACCTGCTGAAAACAAACTCCTGTAAACGTTTATATACTGTACTGCAGTTCACAGGGGCAGTGTTTGATAAATTCATTCAATTCTCTCTGTATAATGTGTACAATCTCAATCTGTGTACATTTTTTATTTGTATAATGAACTTCCCATTACACAACTGATACACTGTCTAGATAATATATACGGTAGCCTTATTGATGCAGTACTAAATTTACAATCAATATTTTTTCATTAAACCTACTTATACATCTGATAAAGTCTCCACATGCAATATGAAAATGCAACTAGAGAGACACAGCTGTGTAGAATTTTTCTTCTAGAGTCATCCCTTCGCACCAAAACAACTGGTGATGCAGACGACAGTGACTGAAGGGGTAAGCGTGACAATCGACCAGAGTCATATTCAACCTGTAAAATATGATAATTATGAACAAAATGTTTATTAATTTTACTGATCATATGTCATTAGGATTATCTCTTATGAAATTTGATGATATGCTACAAATAATCCTATATCCTGGACAGGCAAGTCTAGTTTAACAAACTGATAATCATGCAGAGGTATAGCCGCACAGGAAAACGTATACTATCATGTTGATCTAGTTATCAGTAATTTTCATTGACTTAATTAAAGTGCACCAGAAACAAATAATAATATCTTTATTTACTACAAGTATATGTACATGGTATACAGCCCTAGTTGACATCAATGACATACTACTACATAGAAAGGCAATTGTTATGCAGAGCATTTTAGGCAAATTAGGTCAGGATCTGACCCACACCAATCTATTAACTCCCAGGTGCCCATTTTGCTGATGGGTGAACATAGACAACCAGTGTAAAGAAACATGCCCAATATTTCTACCCTCACTTGGAATCGAACCCATACACTTGCCATGTGAAATGAGAGCTTTAGCCACCAGGCCACGGGGCACCCAGATTCAACATTAACCCTTTCAGGGTCGAGAGGTCCTCTCCTGAACTTGTTCTCAGGGTCTAAAATTTTTCGGAAAAAAAAAAAACAATTATTTTTTATGAAATGATAGAGAATCTTTTCCTGATCATAATGACACCAAAAGTACGAAATTTGATGGAAAACTTATGGAATTATGCTCTTGCGAAGTTAGCGGTCTCAACGATGTTTACGCATCGGCGATTTTGCCCACTTTAAGCCCTATTTTCGACCAATTCCAGTGTACTAGTCGACAAAAATCATAACTATTCTGCTAGAATTCCATTTTTTCTATCGAATGAGTACAAGAAACCACCCATTTACATATTTCAACTATCCAATAAAGTGGTCAGAAATTGGCAATTTTGCCAATTTCACACAAATTTCATAAGATGCCAATTTCAAAATAGGGTTCAGAATAAACAAGACAGACATTCCTGGCACTAAAACATTTCCTCTGTTCATTAGTCACGTCCCCAGGCCCCTCTTACATTTCTTTTGCTTTCCACTTTGAATTTTTATTCTCACAAAAAATAGAAGATTTACTGTTATGCAGCCTACTGCATTAGTGTAGAAATGGTATAAATAATATCGGCGCACTTGTGAAAGAATATTAGACTCACCAGTTGACGTGTATTGGACTCTTAGCATGATTTGTTTACTTTTGAAATTTGGTAAAAATCAAACATTTCTGCTACTTTGAGCTCTGTTCTGTCACGTCAGAGATCACAGCCATCCTATTGACTGGTCTTCCGCTAAAACTGTCTTCCCTACTTCCAACTCTAACAGTCGCTGTCTAGTTGAATCCTCTCTAATACACAACTTTCCTTGTATGAATCTTAGTCCTGGCTTCGTCTCTGTAGATGCCTTCCTCTCCCACTACATTGTAAAATGCTCCAAACTTCAGAACACCCTTGACTTAACCTGATTCCTCCTTTTTTCTTCTTCTCCCTCTTCTCCTTTCCTCTTTCCTTTTTTCTCCTCTGGGTTGTCTTTCTTCTGTCTCGTGTTTCTGTTCCTTCATTATTTATTTCATCACTTCCCCTTCCCCTTACCTCTGTGCACTTGCTCTCCCTCTGTGAGCACCTAGCTCCCTTGCAGTGCCCCCATTTCTTTGTATTTGACTGGCTCCTCCTCCTTAATTCCCCACTACTACCACTACCACTCCCACTACTACTACTACTACTACTACTACCACCACTACTACCACCACTACTACCACCACTACCTCTTCCTGCCTATATATACCCGTCCTGCTCCACTTCTCGTTAATGTGACTTTGTAAATGGTCCAAGTCAGACTGAAACGTCATCGTAAGCTCCTCTTCTATGTCTGGGTTATTTGTGTATAAGGCATATTGTATATAGTATATTCACTTGTATGCTGCACAATAACAGCACAAACACTGACAAGTGAACATTTTCACCTACCTTAGTCACATACTATTGTCTAGAAATATATACATAGTATTTATAGGTCCCAGCAATGTCTTGGATACATGGGAGTACAGTGGACCCTCAACCAATGATATTAATCTGTTCCACAGAGCTTGTCATTAGTTGAATTTATCATCAGTCGAATTAATTTTCCCCCATAAGAAATAACAGAAATCCAATTAATCCGTTCCAGACACCCAAAAGTGTGAAAAAAAAAAATTCACCTGAAATATACATTTTCCTACACAGAAAAACAAGGATACATGCACAATACTGTACTGTACTGTACTAAATGAAGAGTAAATGACACTTACCTTTATTGAAGATGTAGTGATAAGATGGGAGGAGGGGAGATGGAGGTGTATTAATTTTTGGAAGGGGAATCCCCTTCCAATTGAACACTTGTTGGGGTTGGAAATTTTCAGCTTTGTCATGCCTTAACACACTATGTATGCCACTATGATTCTTAAATCTCTCATACCAACCTTTGCTGGCCTTAAATTCACCAATATGAGCACTAGTTCCAGGCATTTTTTCATGTTCACCTGGGTGTTAATCGACTGGTGTGGGTCGCATCCTGGGGGACAAGATTAATGACCCCAATAGAAATAAGTTTGACAGTCCTCGATGATGCACTGACTTTCTTGGGTTATCCTGGGTGGCTAACCCTCTGGGCTTAATGGTTTCTCGGTAACTGTTTCTCGTTAAGCCTCACCAACAACACACTCTTCATACCTTCGAGTAGTACAGCTGACGGTGGTGCAGCAGCAGCTGACCATGGTACAGCAGCAGCAGACTGTGCTACAGCAGCAGCTGACCATGGTACAGCAGCAGCAGACTGTGCTACAGCAGCAGCAGCAGCTGACCATGGTACAGCAGCAGCAGCAGCAGCTGACCATGGTACAGCAGCAGCTGACCATGGTATGATAGTATTTCTCACCCTTTTTACCACAGGGTTGACACTAGAACCTTTCTTTGGGCCCATGGTGGCTTATTTAGCAGTTACAAGCACTAAAAAAATGGAAAAATACAAAATGTATCGAATGTATGCGTGGAAGCATCTGCCCTGGCTTGTAAATAATGGCACACTAGCTGACAGCAGGGCAGCTGAGGCGCTCAGGCTGCACAGACAGGTTCGGGACAAATGTCATTGGTCAAGTTTTTCTTCATTGGTTGGGCCAAAATTTTACGCTCAAACGCTTTGTTAGGTGAATTTTTCGTTAGACGATGCCTTCGTTGGTCAGGGGTCCACTGTATATAATAATAATAATAATAATAATAATAATAATAATAATAATAATAATAATAATAATAATAATAATAATAGAGTTAAAAGATAAAAAATAAAACACAAAGTGGGAGTTGTCACAGTTGCTTTTTACTGATGACACTGTGCTCTTGGGAGATTCTGAAGAGAAGTTGCAGAGGTTGGTGGATGAATTTGGTAGGATATGTAAAAGAAGAAAATTAAAAGTGAATATAGAAAAAGAGTAAGGTGATGAGGATAACAAAAAGATTAGGCGACGAAAAATTGGATATCAGATTGGAGGGAGAGAGTATGGAGGTGAATGTATTGAGATATTTGGGAGTGGATATGTCAGCAGATGGGTCTATGAAAGATGAGGTGAATCATAGAATTGATGAGGGGAAAAGCGTGAGCGGTGCACTTAGGAGTCTGTGGAGACAAAGAACTTTGTCCTTGGAAGCAAAGAGGGGAATGTATGAGAGTATAGTTTTACCAATGCTCTTATATGGGTGTGAAGCATGAGTGATGAATGTTGCAGTGAGAAGGCTGGAGGCAGTGGAGATGTCATGTCTGAGGGCAATGTGCGGTGTGAATATAATGAAGAGAATTCGTAGTTTGGAACTTAGGAGGAGGTGCAGGATTGCCAAAACTGTTGTCCATAGGGCTGAGGAAGGGTTGTTGAGGGTTCGGACATGTAGAGAGAATGGAACGAAACAGAATGACTTGAGAGTGTATAAATCTGTAGTGGAGGAAAGGCAGGGTAGGGGTCGGCCTAGGAAAGGTTGGAGGGAGGGGGTAAAGGAGGTTTTGTGTGAAAGGGGCTTGGACTTCCAGCAAGCATGCATGAGTGTATTTGATAGGAGTGAATGGAGACAAATGGTTTTTAACCCTTTCAGGGTCCCCAGGCCCTCTCCCAGACTTGTTCTCAGGGTCGCCCAAATTTCCAAAAAAAAAAAAAAAAAATTCTTACGAAAAGACAGAGAACCTTTTCCTGACCATAATGACACCAAAAGTATGAAATTTGATGGAAAACTTACGGAATTATGCTCTCGCGAAGTAAGCGGTTTCGAAGATGTTTACTCATTGGCGATTTTGCCCACTTTGAGCCCTATTTTTGGCCAATTCCAGTGTACTAGTCGACAAACATCATAACTATTTCGCTAGAACTCCATTTTTTCTATTGAATGAGTACAAGAAACCACGCATTTACCGATTTCAACTATCCAATACAGTGGTCAGAATTTAGCAATTTTGCCAATTTCACACAAATTTCAAAAGATGCCAATTTCCAAATAGGCTCCAAAATAAACAAGAAAGACATTCCTGGCACTAAAATAACATTTCCTCTGTTCATTAGTCACGTCCCCACGCCCCTCTTACATTCTTTTGCTTTCCACTTTGAATTTTTATTCTCACAAAAAATAGAAGATTTACTGTTATGCAGACTACTGCATTAGTGTAGAAATGGTATAAATAATATCGGCGCACTTGTGAAAGAATATTAAACTCACCAGTTGACGTGTATTGGACTCTTAGCATGATTTGTTTACTTTTGAAATTTGGTAAAAATCGAACATTTCTGATACTTTGAGCTCAATTTCAAGGTACTTTTCATTGTAAAACCAGTCAAAATCATCTCAATTTCTGTAATATGTCTTCCATTCTATAAAATGAGACCAGGAAAACTAGAATACAACAAAAAATACCATACAAAAATACAGTGCAAATTCGCTGTTTTAATCCAAAAACACGGTCAAAGTTTTTTTTTTCTCATTACACACTGTGTACTGCAGGATTTTTTTTATACTGCTCACACTGACCACATAGACCCATTCTTTCATATGTAGGCCTACCAGCTTTCTCTCACTAGATTTGAGGGTGCTAGATTTTAGGCGTACTAGTACGTCAAAAATCCTGGTGCGTAAGCCGTACTAGTACGTCTGAAACCCTGAAAGGGTTAAAAATAAAGTTTACTTGAAGCATGGTGTAAGACGAGTGTCAGTCCATTGCTGACAGTATAGCAGTGTTGACATTTGATGAGCTTGCATTGCCTTGGCTTTATTTGTTTTCACTGTTACACATAAACATGGCTGTGTCTGACTATGTCTGTCTAGCTCTCTGTTTATCTCTGTCTCTGCTTACCTTTGTCTCTCTGTCTGCTTCTCTCTGTCTCAGAGAGAGCCAGTCATGAGCCAACAGGTACTACACACGACGCAGTCGTTACATCTGATTCTTGAACATGTGAAAATACGTATTATGTACTTGCCAGTCATGCTTACTATGCATTATATTTACAAGCACAGTATAGCACTTTGTCTGGATTTTTTGGGTTATCCTAGGTAATTTACACTTTGAATAATTGTATTTGTGTGTACAGTGGAACCTTGATTTTCGTTTGCCCTGGTTTTCATTAAATTCAGTTTTCGACAACTTTTTTCATCAAAATTTTGTCCCAGTTTTCATTCATCACCTCGGTTTTCATCGAATAAACAGTGGTACATCGTACTGAATGTGTCTGCACGCGCCCACACAAAGCATCCCATGCATTCTGAGTCAGCCTGGCTTTGTGTCTCATCAGTAGAGGGTGGTAGTGATGATGGTTAATGGTGGTAGTGATGATGGTTAATGGTGGTAGTGATGATGGTTAATGGTGGTAGTGATGGTGGCAGAGGGTTGTAGCAATGGTGGTAGAGAGTGGTAGTGATGGTGGTAGACAGTGGTAGTGATTGTGGTAGAGGGTGGTCGTGGTTGTGGTAGAGAGTAGTAGTGATGGTGGTAGAGTAGTAGTGATGGTGGAAGAGGGTGGCAGTGATGGTGGTAGAGGGTAGTAGTGATGGTGGTAGAAGGTGGTAGTGATGGTGGTAGAGGGTGGTAGTAATGGTGGTAGAGGGTGGTAGTAATGGTGGTAGAGGGTGGTAGTAATGGTGGTAGAGGGTGGTAGTAATGGTGGTAGAGATAACCTCTCCTCCCTCTCCCTTCCTTGCCATCTTCCATACGCCAACAAGCGTCTTCAATTATAGGTAAAAGTGATTTTAATGTTCATTTATCCATTTCATTAGTGCTTTATATTTCCCATTGTTTTCTGTATGTAAAACTATAGTTAGTCTCTATAAATGTATTTTTGTTGATATTTTTGGGTGTCTGGAATGGATTAATTGGATTCACATTATTTCTTATGGGAAATACTGCTTCAGTTTTCATCGAATTCGGTTTTCGCCAGACTTTCTGGAATGAATTAAAGATGAAAACCGAAGTTCCGCTGTATTATAATTGTTGGTGACCTCAACCAACATCTTATACAGAGGGACTCTGATGACCTCTTGCAATGTTTGACATGAGAAACAATGTTAATTTCCCTACTCATATCTCTGGTTCCTCCCTCGACCCAGTAGTGAGCTGTCGGAAGGTATAGTCACTTGCCAACCCCTTGGCTATGCTGAATCATCTGACCACAAGGCTGTCTTTATGACAATGAAGATCCTAACAGAACAAGATGAAGAATGTACATGTACAACCTGGTTGTGGGGAAAAGGAAACTAGCAGCCCTTTGCACTGAGTCTGCCACCTCTGATTGCAATGCTCTTCTCCAAAGTGATGTTGACAACCAAGTGAATGCCTTCACTGAACACATCCCTAATCTCCAACAAGAACACATCCCTCACCAGCAGTATGTGACAAAGCCTACAGATCAGCCTTGGTTCGGTTTTCATTGTTGAGAGACTGCTACTGCTAAGTACAAGGCTTGGAGAAGGTATATGCGGCATCCCACTATTAATAACAGGAACCTGCACAGGCAAGCCTGTAGGCAAATGAGAGAAGTTCGAAAATGGGCCATCTCTAAATGGGAGGCTGACACAAAAAAAAAGCTGGCATCAGGTAAAATGGCCTCCAAAATCTGGTGGTCCTTGGTCAAGGTCCAACAGGGTTATTCACCTGATGAAATTATTCCACCTTTGAATCAACAGGATTTGACCAACTCTACTAGAAGTCAGGAAAGAGCTGACCTCTTTACTGAACACTGCTGCCAAGATGCAAGTTCCTGATCCAGCAACAGAGACTCCTCGGCTAGCCTCAAGAAATACATCAAAGTTGTCAGTGGTGACAATTAGGAAGGATGAGGTGTATCCTCTTAAATTGCTGGACAAAGAAAAAGCTTTGGGCCCAGATAAGCTGAGCCCAAGATTGCTGAGTGCTGACCAGCTAGCAGCACCTTCAACTCGCATCTATCAGCAATGCCTAGCACAGTGTAAATGGCATTCTCTGTGGAAAGAGGTAAATGTAGTAGTCCATGTTCACAAAAAGAAAAGAAGAGCAGAGCAGAAATCAGCAACTACAGACCAATGTCACTCCTATCAATCACTGGCAAGATCCTTGAGACAATAATCTCATGGCAGATGACAGAGTTTTTTGACTACCACTCATTTCTTTGTGACAGTGATATGGCTTTAGAAAAGGTTACTCTGCTGGTGATCTGTTGTTAAACCTCTCCACTAAGTGGCACCAGTCACTGGATGAATCCAAAGTCAACTGTGTGGTAGCACTGGACATTGCTGGTGCTTTCGACCGAGTGTGGCACCAGAGCCTCTTGGCAAAACTGCAAGCACTGGGAATTGCAGGCTCTACACTATGTCTCCTCAGTGATTACCTTCATGGTAGATCTCTAAGGGTAGTTCTCAATGGAACAGAATCAGCAAGACATCCTATTGGGGCAAGTGTTCCACAAGGAAATGTGCCGGGACCATTGTTATGGAATGTCTACTTCAATGACCTTCTTCATCTCATCCCAGAATCCCATGCATATGCAGACGACTGTACTCTGACATTCACTTATCCAAGAGAAGAAATGCCAGCTGCTCTAAGCTACATCGATCACCAGCTAAGAGCTATATCAGCTTGGGAAACCGATGGCAAGCAACATTTGCACCTGAGAAAACACAAATGATGGTAAAGCACCATGATGGTAATGCCAGTGCAGTAGTATGTATGAATGGGAGGGTGTTGGTACCTGGAAAAGACACTGTTATATCCTTGGGGTGAAATCTGACTCCAAACTGACCATGAAGAACTACATAAATCTTGCAAACAAGGCAGCCAGGAAGTTTACAGCACTCTGCTGTATCTTGCATCTGCTTGACAGTAGGGGTTGCAAGATTCTGTACGAGGCAAAAGTACGCTCACATCTTGAGTATGCTCCACTTTCTTGGTTTGCCCCCCCCCATCTGTGCCTGCTTCACAGAGTAGAGAACAGAGCAACATGTCTCATCTCTCATCTGGACCCATCCTGGATAGATCTGTCAATTCAGCAGAGCCTTCAATACAGGAGGGATGTGGGTGGCCTTACTGTTATGTACAAGGCCAACATTGTCAAAGTACTACACTTGAATCCTCTTTGAGGACAGCAAGAAACAAGCTTCTATACCACAAGACAGGCAGAAAGCAGCAACTTCACTCTGGCTGTACCCTTCTCCAGAACATCACTTCATCTGAGATGACTCGAGTCTGGAACACATTCGTACAGCATCATGATGTCAAAGAAATAGTCAGTTGATCAAATGAAAATGCTGGCCCACAGATGGCTCCAACTTCATCCTGTTCCCTACTTGAATGTTTCATAATAAAATGCTTTCAAATGAGCTGATGTAGGTAACAGCTCTTAGCTTGTTGAGAGTGCGAGAGAGATTGAGAAAGATTGAGAGTGATAGAGTCTGAGAAATATTGAGAGAGAGTGAGAGAATGGGAAAGAGATTGGGAGAGACAGAGACTGAGTGAGAGAGATTGGGAAAGAGATTGAGAGAGAGAGAGAGATTGGGAGAACGATTTAGTGATGGAAATAAATGAATCTAATAATATGAATAAATCACATTATCATATAAAGTGAAGGATATCTAGAATATGGTTAAGGTCACCTGCTGGAGAGTTTAAGTGTTGAATGTTGCCTGATAAACTTACCTGATACTTGCAACAAGGGTCAAACTGCCATGATGCTGTATAAACTCCAGTGCAGAATAAAGACAAAGTGCCAAGTGGGACACAAACATAAGCTGTCTCTCTCCATATCAGACCTGAAGAGGTGTAGTCATTCAATCATTTTTGCAATCTAAATAGGTACTGTAAGAAATTTTATTGTAAAATATATTTTATCCTAGCCTCTAAGAAGCTGGCTAATTAAGAAAAACCTCCAGGAATAGAAAACTATATATTTTAATAGTGTAATAAAGCTGTGAAGACAACTTAGGTCCTGTGCCTGCTCTACCCACTTTATAAGTGTCTATACAATATCTTGTCTTTTCCTAGAAATAATTAAGTTTTAACTACTATACCTGCTGTGTTAGACAGTACATGATTATACACATAACTATAAAACCGGACAAAACACACTGTAATACTGTATGAGTAAATGAGTGCAAAGCTAATGTACTCATATTTATAACATGTTGTCTTCCAATGCAGGGTGACCCAACATCCTATTCCCTAGCACTCTTTGAAATGCAATATCCTCACCCACTTTTCAGTGTGAAGACACTCTACTACTCACCTCCAGAACTAATGTCCAGATAACCAGTTTCCCCTGAATCATTTCACAGATGTAGCCAAGCTCACTCTCCAACAACACAGTACATCATACCCCAAAAATTCACTTGTCTCCACTTAGTCTGAGCTAACATGTTCATACATACCTGCTAGAGACTCAAGCCCCTACCTTTAAAAACCTCTTGTACACCCTCCATCCAACATTTCCTGAGGCATTTTATATACACCACTTTTCATCCATTCCAAATTTACATACCTTCAAATTACAAAAAACTTCTAGAATCATAGGCATCTGCTATACTTCTAGACCACATATGGCTAGCAAATTAATACCATAAAGTTCTGCTATCATCACTGACAGGACTATGGACCCTTACGCGAACTTTTCTAAAGGCAAACATTACTAAAGCACCTCTGGAAACAACAACACTTACTGTACAGACTCCATAATGATATTTCAGTAAATAACTTTACCAATGTCATTAAACAAAAAAAAAAATGGAAAAAGCAAACTTAACTTTATCCAAAATGTTAATATCGGCATGAATAACTTCCTGGACAATGCACATCACCTCTACGATATAGGATCCCTTCAATCAGAAAGGTAAAACAAGCCATGGCTCACAAAAGCAATACAGTACTAAGAGTCATTGATAAACATAATTATGAAAAGTAAACACTAGGCCTTGTCTCTGAGGAGATTAAACAATATTGTGCAATAACAAGTCTAACTATAGAGTACAAATAAACTTGCTAATCAAATAAATTTAATGAAGCCAACGGATATACCACATTCCTTTGAAAATTCTCTCATAAACACAGTTCTAGGTTCTTAAAAAGAAAAACCAAACTCGCCAAGGACGATAAACTCGCCAAGGACAATAAACTCGCCAAGGACGATAAACTCACCAAGGACGATAAACTCCCCCTTTCAGCTACTGGTACTGTAAACAAACTTTGGAGCTTTTTCTTTAGAATCAAGACTAATATTCCAAATAATATCAGTAGCTACCTGACTGACAACATGAATTTACCAATAACATCTTTCAAAATACTATACTCAAAAAATATATTGCTGGTAAAAATCACCCAAAAATTGACATGTAACCCATCTGTATTACCAGTCATTATTTTCAGGAAGGCAGCACTATATTATTTCAGTCATACATTACTCTTCAACAAATTACTTTAGAAAACCTAGAAAGTCTGAGATTAAAAAAAAAAAAAAAAAAGATCAGCCTCATCTAAGAAAAATGGCAATTTATCTAATGTTAATAATTATAGACTCAAGACACTGAACACCCCATACTTCTTACTTCCTTATCCATATACTGTGTCACATGGAAATCATGTTTGGGGATCTACATCACTAACTCGTCTCAATAAAAAACAACTATCAGCATTATTGCAATCTCAAACTAGAGATAGCAAATATGGCCCTTATTCAAAACTTGAAAACTACATAATATACAGGCATATGATATTTGCATATTCTACTGCAATATAGATAGACAGCTTAAGACTTCCTTAAGAACTACAAATGAACAGATGCATATTAGAAACAAATACAGTGGTACCTTGACTTATGAGTGCCCCAGGTTACGAATTTTCCGAGTTACGAGCCGTCGCTCAGTCGATTTTTTGCTTTGAGTTGCAAGTCAAAATCTGAGTTACGAGCAGGAGATACTGAGGAAATATCAAAAACCTTGATAATCACCAATGTGTAACATCCTTTCAATTTTGATATCACTGGTAATGTCATCCTGCCAGAATGTTCTATAACGTATGCCGTAAGTAAAGAGAAACAATTCTGGAACATGTGTAATACATGTTCGGCAGGCCAGCTGGTTGGGTGGCCAGCAGGCTAGCCGGTTGGCTGGATGGCAGCTGGCTGGCTGATTTGCTTTGGCTGTCTCTATCTCTGTCTCTCTGTCTCTAACTCTGTCTATCTCTAACTCTGTCTCTCTATTTGTCTTTATTTCTGTCTCTGTCTATCTCTGTCTCTGTCTCTGTCTCACAGGTACACATAAATAGTTATACATAGTGCAAATTACCTAGGATAACTAAAAAAATCCAGGCGAATTCTGACTCTCCTCTTCCGAACTTATAGTTCTAAGACTGATGGAAGTGGATCTGAAGAGGAATTCTATGGTTTTGAACCATATGGTACAGGGTACAGGGACCTTATAATATGTTTGTAGATATAAGGCATAATAAGCATGACTGGCAAGTAATACACATATTCACTTGTTCAGGAATCAGATGTGAGAACTCTGCATCGTGTGTAATACCTGTTGGTTCATGAGCAGCTCTCTCTTTGAGACAGAGACAAGTAGAGGGACAGGAAGACAGAAACACAGGCAGACAGAAAGACGGATAAGCAGAGACAGAGATAAACATAGACAGAGCTAGACAAATAGACAGATAGGCAGACAAGTTTATGCATAACAGTAAAAAATAAAGCCAAGGCAGTGCACAATCATCAAATGTCACTCCACTGCTGCACTGTCAGCAGTGGAGTGACATACACCGTGCTTCAAGAAGTTTCATATATATACTCCAGCATTTCTAAAACATTGCTGGGACCTGGCAAAAAAAGCAAAAATCATTACTTATTTATAAATACATTTTTCTTATTTTAAAAAACTGTAACAAAAAAAATTGGGGTGGTTTTTGAGGGGCTGGAATGAATTAATGGCATTTTAATTAACTTCAACGAGGAAAATTTATTTGATATATGAGCAAATTGAGTTACGAGCTCAGTCACGGTATGAATTAAATTCATAAGTCAAGGTACTATTGTACAGGTATCTCTATGATACCTGTACAGGTATCTCTATGATACCTACAGAAATTCTATAGTAATAAGGTAAAATAATGAATAATTAAAATTTACCACTCAATAACCTAAATCAAATCAAATCAAAGTTTATTCTCTATAAGGATTACAATGTGGGATTTACAGATTTTGGTTATTGTATGGTTTACATGTAATAAAATACTAATTACAGAGGAGCCCACTAGAACACCTAGCATGGCTAGGCATTTCGGGCAAACTTAGTATTGTGTGAGCATTAGTATTAGTCTGCCCAAAATTCTCAGGTATGTTAAGTGGCTTTCTATGTTAACCCTTTCAGGGTCTGTGTCGTAGTTCTATGGCTTTGAGTTGTGGGTCCAAATTGTAGAACTACACCAAATTCTAGTGGCCTGAAATTTAGCTCGAGAAGGCTGGTAGGCCTACATCTAAGAGAATGGGTCTGGCTAGTCAGTGTGTGCACTGTAGAAAAAATCTGGACACCCGCATGGCAGTGTGGGAACACCGCCAAAGTAGCTTTGTTCACCATGCATGTTGGCAAGGAAGCTCTCACTCCCCAGGCGAATTCTGACTCTCCTCTTCCGAACCTATAGTTTTAAGACTGATGGAAGTGGATCTGAAGAGGAATTCTATGGTTTTGAACCATATGGTACAGGGTACAGGGACCCTAATGGAAATAAGTCTGTGACTTTTTTGGGTTATCCTAGGCCTCCAAACATATGCTGCTATGTATGATAATTTATGTAAGTTTATTTGTGTATACCTAAATAAACTTACTTACGACGCCACATGTGCTTGAGTAAGTTTATTCAGGTATACACAAATACAGTTACATAGATTATCATACATAACAGCATATGTATAAAATCCTAGGATAACCCAAAAAAGTCAGGGTGACTTATTTCCATAGGGATCCCTGTATCTGTACCATATGGTGCCCTGCACCATATGGTACCCCTGTACAATATGCTACCCTGTACCATATGCTACCCTGTACCATATGCTACCCTGTACCATATGCTACCCTGTACCATATGCTACCCTGTATCACATGGTACCCTGTATCACATGGTACCCTGTATCACATGGTACCCTGTACCATATGGTACCCTGTACCATATGGTACCCTGTACTATATGGTACCCTGTATCATATGGTACCCTGTACCATATGGTCAGTAGGTGGTGGTGCCACGAGACACCAGCCAAGACTGAGAGTGAGTGGGGACATAAGCCACTGACTCAGCAGTTTCCAAGACAAAGCACATCGTCATCCACCTCAAGGAACATGTCCAGTGGCTGTACTTATGTAAAAATATATAATAGAACATTATTAATACAGTGGAACCTCTACTTGCGAGCACATCCATGTGCGAGTTTTTCCAAATACGAGCAGTCGATGGCTCGATTTTTTGCTTCCATATGTGAGCAAAATTTCCATAAGCGAGCAGACCTCAAGGCAGGTTTCTTGACGCTGGTTAGGGGCTCTTTCTCTTGATCTAGGGAATTGTATCTCATTTGTTTGTTGGACTATCTTATTGAAACTTGGGCAATGTATGATGGAAAGATGCTTCTTAACTTACACCAAAAATGAAAGAAATCGGAGCATAAATAATGGAGTTCACTTCTCGGCAATTAGCCACCCCTTAGCAGTATTTTCGTATGGTTTTTATGGTTGTATTCGCATTATTTTGGTCTCATTTGATAGAATGGAAGA